GAGCCCCGCCGGCCCCGCACTCACCGGCGGCGGCCTCCAGCAGCGCGGCGGCGCGGAGCAGGCGGTAGTAGCGCTCCATGTCCCCCGCCGAGGTGCCGCCCGGCGGGGGCCCGCCCGGGGCCGGGGCCGGGGCCGGGGCCGGGGCCGGGGCCGGGGCCAGGGCCATGCCGCGGGCAGCGCTCCCCGCCGGCAGCGCCCGCTCCGCGCCCCGGGCCCGCCGGGCGGGGCCGCCCCCAGACCCGCCCCGGCCCCGCCCCGGTACCGGCGCTGGCACCGCCCCGGCACCCCCCGGTACCGGTGCAGCCCCAGCCCCGCCCCATCTCCGCCCCGGTACCGACACCGGCCCCGCCCCGGTACCGGCACTGCCGCGGTACCACCCCAGCCCCGGCCCGGTACCGGTACAGGCCCGCCTCGGTACCGGCACCGCCCCAGCCCCGCCCCCGCCCGCCGGCTTTTCTTTCCCTTTATTTATTTTTTTTTTATCCCCTTTCCCTGGTTTTTCCTTCCTGGTCTGCTTGTTTGTGTGTTTCCTTTTTTCCCCCCTCTTCCCCCGTGATTCTTAGCCCCCTTTCCTCTCTTCTCCTTTTTTCCTGTTTCTTTAGTTTACTCCCTTCCCCCCTTTCTCCTTCCTCTTCCCCTCTTTTTTCCCTTCCTTTTCCCCCTGCCCCCTTTTTTCCATTCCCCTATTTTTCCTCTTTTTAGTCTTTTTTCCAGTATTTATTTCTGTTCCCGTTTCTGTTTTTCTCTTTCTTCTCCCCCTTTCCCTTCCTCTCCCTTTTCCCCTTTCTTTCCTTTTCCTCCCCTTTGATTCCTTTTTTTGTTCTTTAATTTACCACTATACCAGTGCCGCCCAGCAAACCACCCTGCAGCTGGATTTACTCCCTGCCTTAGTGCCTATAGCACTTCTATAGGGGGAAAAAAAAGGCATTTCCATCCTCTGCAAGCAGCATTCTAGCAAATTCCTTGAACGGTTTATAAGAACTGCATTAAACCCTCCTACAGCCAGAGCTGGCCAGAGCTCCAGGCACAGCATGGGGCTGACCCCTCATTCTCAGTTTTCCTGGTGCTGAGGTTCAAACCATGCCAGCTCAGGTCTCGACAAGAGCCTGAGCTGCCCAGGAAGGCAGCATGGAGAAGCAGATGTTCCTGTTTTTCCAAAACAACCTTTTAATTATGCTCTTTACTATAATAGCAGCCTTTTTCCAACACTTCAGCAGTCAGGGCTATTAATTAAAGAGCCGTGGTCTAACAGTGGTAATACAAAACCCAGCATCTCTTGGTAGGCCCTTCCTACACTGATGCAGGATTTTTCAAGGAAAAACAACCCAGTCAGTCAGCGCTCCTTGGTCGTGACGCAGCAGATTCTCACTATCAAACAGTTTGGATAGATGGTTTTGTCTGGTCATAAAGCACTTCTTGTGTGACAGGGAGAGTTCATGTGCAGTTACTCTTGAAAAAATCAGTCTGATACACAAGGCTACAAGTCAAGAAAGAGCCTTGTCACATTCCTGCTGTGTTCTTATCACAGGAATGCTGCTTGTCCTAAACTGCCACGGCTCTGGGAGGAATGGGACCCATCCAGGTCCCTGGTTTGCCCCACCAGCGAGCAGGGGATGCTCTGCTGCAGCTGGGACTATCCCCACTGCTGTCACACCCACCTCTCACCCAGGATTTTGGGAAAATGAAGCTCCCCAGCAGAAGATGCAGCTGTTGCCCCCAAGGCTGCGCAATCCATCCATTCCCTGCTCTCTGAACAAAGGTTTAAGAGAGGATCTGGCTCGGGTCTCTGCAGCCACAGTGAACCCCCCCGTTGAGCCTGGCTGGGCTGTGCTGCCCCGGTGCTGGCAGCATCCTGCAGCCCAGAGCTGCACTGCTGCAGCAGCGTGGAAAAGCTGGGCTCACTCACATGCAGGGCGACTCACAGCTCTTCCTCATGGCCACTGAGACCCAGGCTTGGAGCCCTGGCTGCCAGAGCCTCCCCTGGGGCATCTCGCTGCAAATGCCCACCCAGCCAGGCACTGCACATCCTCCAGCTGCCCAGTGACACTGCCAGCAGCTCCTCAGAGCTAGCTGCTGCCTCTGCCTGCCCAGGGATGATAAACAGAGGGAGCAGGAAGAAGACAGGTTAGAAAGCAAACAACGACAGCCAGAACACGGCTGTTTATTCTTCAGGGATCTCCTGTCCAGGCTCCACAGCAATGTTCAGCACTCTGAGGGTGGCACATACAGACTGGTGTGTGAGGGGCAAGAGCCCTTTAAAGCTGTGGAAAATCTTGACAGCACCTGTTTGCAGAGATTTATTTCATGTGGGTGCAATGCCTCATCCCTGAATCTAATCTTAGGGAGAAGGTGTAGGAAGAATTCCAACTAATTTCATTAATTCCAGATCAGGGGCTGAAAAAACCCACTCAAACAAAATTCTAAACCTCTTGAATTTGAAAAAAAACCCCAATTTTTCCCCCCTTTCCCAGATTAAAGCTAGATGGTTGGGTTGAGACTGGAGCCATTATTTGGAAAAATACCTGTTCAGTCAAGTGCTGAGAACTGGAAAAACAGAGTGGCTAAACACAGGTTAGAGTCAAAGTGATGTCCAAGGGAATTGCTCACCTCTGGAGTAAGCACAGCCACAGCAAAGTACTTGTGCAGAAGAGTAATTAACGTCAGGCTGGTTTTCAGGAGCAGGGATTTTAGGAGGATTTCTTGTGCAGACAGCAGCATCACCCCCACCCCAGAGGGACTGCCCAGGGTGGCTCTTCCACATGCAGCCCCTGCAGAAATCCTGGCCCCACTGAAGCCAGCCCCACCTGCACAATTTAATCAGGAGGAGGATTTCATGTCTCCTACTTGCATGTGAAAATAAAAAAGGGCTCCACTCTGTTCTCCGCCCGTCACTCTCCCCCTGCGTCAGTCAGAGCTGCCTTATTTGCTGGTACAGCTCGTGGCTCCGGCCAGAACACTCACAGGCACACGCACACCCTTTCTGCAGGTCGCCGTGTATTCCCCAGCTCGGCAGGCTGTCCCCAGCCGTGACAGCCGAGCAGCAAAGCCCAGCGGCAGCAGCCGCAGGGCACGGCGAGGGACAGGGCCACCGCGGCCCCCACGGGCCCAGCGCCCTCACACGCTCCAGCCTGCTGTCCTCCTAAACCCTTCCAGCGTGACAGCGCCGCTCCTTTCTGAGGGCCGCGGGTGTCTCAGGGGCGTCCGGGGCTCTGTGCACGCCCCGAGGCCCGCGGAGCTGCGGAGCTGCGGGGCTGCGCTTGTGAGGGCAGGCGCTCCCCGCGGGAGCCCGCGGCCATCGCGCCGCTCAGGGGCGGCCGGGAGCCCCGCGCCCGCGGCCGGCTAACAAACAGCCCGAGCTGCGGGAAACGCTCGGGTTCGGCTCAACAGCCCGGCCATCGCACCGGGAGCCCCGCGCCCGCGGCCGGCTAACAAACAGCCCGAGCTGCGGGAAACGCTCGGGTTTGCTTAAACAGCCCGGCCATCCGTCCTGCGGGAGCCCCGCGCCCGCGGCCGGCTAACAAACAGCCCGAGCTGCGGGAAAGGCTCGGCTTTGCTTAAACAGCCCGGCCATCCGTCCTGCGGGGCCTGACGGCAGCTGCGGCGGTCCCGGCAGCCGAAACAGCATTTTTCAAACTGTCCGCTTCTCATCACAAACACCTCCGTTTGAAACAGACCGCGTCCTTAAAAAGAAAGTGAAGTCTATATATTTCTTGTGCATTATACAAACACTGCGAGTCGTGCTTCAGCAGTTTCCGCCTGCTGTTGGAATTTCATCCGTGCAAATACCCCCCCTTACCTCACCAGCACCAGGCACTTTGCAAACCTCGTTTGTGTACTTTGAACTAAAAAATACTTATTTATTACAGGCAGCCACGACACAGCATCAAGAAACAAAAGAGCAGAAAGTAAAACATGGAAAGTGAATGGAAATCAGGCACAGGGACCGACATTTTTATCAGCCAGCTCCTGAATGTCAGCTGAAGCCCTGGGTTCACCTATTCTAGAAAGTTAAATAAATTTATTCATTTAATTCACAGGATTCACTTTCATAATTAAACGTTCATTTTGAGGGAAATGGGTTGAGAGCACACAGGCCAGCTATGTGCAGCAGCTGATACCCACAGTCGCTAATACCCTGCTGGAAAAATAAAAATGTATGAGAAGCAAGCAGTATTTCCTTAGGCAAATGCAGATAACCAAGCTGGCACCTACCCACTGTGAAAATGTTGATTGTCTCCCTAGTACTGCCCTGGAAAAGCCCACACAATCAAGCACCCTCTAGGAGTATCCAAGGAGATGAGAGAGACAACCAATATATATTAATCAGAACAACATACCAAAGTTTATTGATTACTTCAAACAAAAGTTTCTGTAATGAAAAAAGAGCAAGTTGCATTCATAAAAGGTAACATTCACATTCAATTTCCTTTATATAAAGCAACATAAATGTATAAAATTGCATTTAAGTGAAAAAAATGTAAGGTTGCAGTCCTTTTTCTTTGCAAGAAGCTGAAAATGTATCTGCTCATTGCCTGTATATAATTTACATTTTCTATACACTACATTAAAAAAAAAAAATCATAGCTGGGAAATTTGATAAATGGTGCAGTATTAGGAAAGGTTTTCAACTGTGTGTATACAAATTCAATTTGAAGCCTTTATGCAATTCCAAGTCATTTATAATATTCTCATAATGATTAGGATTAGTTTTTGAAAAGTCGCTATGACTACACCAAGCTCCACTGTTATCACATAAGAGTTTTAGAGGGAATCTTAATTACTTTCCTTATCTTTCAGTGTCACTAATCAGTGATAAAACTTCAACAAATTATTATGAGAAAACCCCAGCCTTTTTTCCTTCAAGTTTCTCCACCGAAAAGCCTGTACTGACCTTTTGCTGTACCTGAGGAGCACCGTGAGCACCATGGAACACGAGCAGCCAGCACAGCATCCCTGTCCCACTGCTGCCTCACAGCTGGCAGCCCTACCAGCACTTCTGCCCCTCTCCAACCCCAGGAGGGGTCTCCTGTTTCCTGATTTCACAAGCCACCCGCATCCCGAATTCCGGTTCTGCCACTGCTGAGGATCAGCTCTCCTGCAGGACCAGGGCAGCCTGGCTGTCCTGGCACCCAGCACTACACCAGTGCACTGTCTGAAGATCCAAGCCCAAGAAAAACTGCATTTTCTTGCTATTCCAAACATTCCAGGTGAATTCCACCCTGCCTGTCAGCACACACACCTTGGGCTTGAATGCACAGCTGTTGCAATGGCTTGTTCCAGCTGGAGACAGGATACTTGGAAATGACAAGAGAAAGATTTGGTTCTCAGAAGGTTCTGTCTTGGGACAGGCAGCAGAAATTATCCTGGTTCCGTGATTATTTGAACAGTTCACACACACGAGGCTCCACTGTTCCCACTGACACCACCAATGGAATTCCAGGGGAATGGACTGACTCTTGGAGCAGAGCATGACAAAACAAACTGAGAAGCAAGGTGTCATGCTTGGGACCATTCGGGCTTGGAATGGTTCTGAATCACAGGAATTGGGCATTTTAGTGCCCATTTTTTAGAGGTTATGTAAACACAAGTCAGCAACCGTGTATTTAAGGAGAATGGTTAGATTTGGCATATAGAGCACATCTTCATTGTATTCATCGTGTACTTGATCTGTAGGCACCACATTTCTGCAAGGAAAGTTGAGCACGGGACAAGGTCTGCAAGTTGAATTCTAGGTCTGTGAAATGAGCTAGGAAAACGGAAAAAAAAAACCAAAAGAGAAGAAAATGCAAGCTTTGCCCATGGGACACATGCTGGCAGTGCAGCTTCTGCCCCGTGTGCAGCAAGGAGCCGAGCTGCGCTCGCTGCGCCGCCCGTGCCGAGGCCAGTGCAGAGCACAGCACAGCACAGCACAGCACACTGTGCTCCTGCCCCTGCGTGCCTGCCACGCTGGTGATGGCAGAGCAGCCCCAGGGGCTGTGCACTCCCCTCTCCCACTCAGCTCAGGCCCCCCAGCATCCCCACGATGCACGAGAGGCTTTGCCGGCAGCTGAGCCGCACCAGCTGCAGACGAACAGCAGGGATGGCAGCCAGAGAGCAAGGCTTGGTTCTTCCAAAAATTAATAGTCTGCAGTTCAACAAAATTTGGTGAGGGGGTTGTTCTGTGCAGTCCCAAATTGTCCTGTTGTACAGACATGACACACAGCTGAGCGAGCGGGACCACACCCAGCGGCAGTGCAGAGCTTGCTGCTCCTGAAACCAGCCCCAAAGCTTCTCCCAGGAGCTCCTCTGGGGACACAGCACCAGGGAGGGACTGTCACACCAACCAGCAGGAGCACACAGGCTGCTCTGTCACTGCTCATGACTTCACACAACACGAGAAGCTGCTCTTTCCACACATGAAGTATCAGAGGAAAAAAAAAAATATTGAGTCAGGCATCTCATCTCACCTTTGCTGTGCAGAACCTAAAGAGGAAAGTCCTACCACCATGGTACAGGTAGATTTAAAAAAGAACATGCCAATTTAAAAAACAAGATGTAAAATGAAATCAGGTTCATGTATTCAATTTTAAACTGTCTTCTTTTTTCTTAGTGCAAATAACTCAAGATGCAGTTTTATACACCTGCAGGTTGACAGGCACAGCCCCAGTCCCTGGGATCAGCCAAGGACTGCACTGTCCCTTTGAAGTGTTGGAGCAACTGCCCAGTGCAGTAATGCAAGCACAGCCACAGGAGCCTGGGCACTGGGGCTCAGAGTCTGGCACAGCCCAACTTCTGGCATTCCTTTTTCCTCCACAAAAGCTTCCTTCCATCACAGCCACAAAACCTTTTCTTCGCTCTCCAGCAGGAATAAACCCATCAGCAAAGCGGATGTGGGAGGATGCTCTGGCACTTCCCAGCACTGCAGCTCTTCACGTGGCCACCGCTGCTGTGGACAGACCACAGACTGCTCCCAGCTTCACCTGGAGGAGAGAGTGGCAAAGATTTCTCCCGAATTTCAGCTGATCCTGCCCGGCCCCAGCACCAGGAGAGGGGCTCCAGGGCTGCATCCACCTCCTGTGTGAGGGGAGCAGCCTCTTCCCAGGGCCTGCAGGGGCTGGAGGGGAATGTCACTGGGTTGAAGTCTGTGCTACTTCTTTGGTCAGGCAGAGCAGAGCTTGGAGCAGCCCTGCTGCTCTCGGGCAGATCTGCAGCGGGCACAGGAGCCTCGTGTGAAACGGGGCTGGCACTGCACTCTTGCACTTCAATCCATGCTGCTTTGGGTGAACTCCTAAAGATGTTTCTCAGCCTCCAGTGCTGTAGGATTTGGCAGAATTGTTTTTTCTGGGAGGGCAGGGAAGCCTCAAGACCAAAGACTAAAGGGTAGCGTGGGGCCAGTGCCCTGGCTGCTCAGAGTCCTTGGTACTATCACAGGTCACTGCCAGGGTAAACCATGGGTTTCCTACAACATGGCAACGTGCAGTGTTTGTGTGGAGCACTTTAAGGTATCCTGAGAGGATATCTTTCTGCCAAATTAGTAACAGCATCTTCAGCCTTCACATAACCATTCTCTATACGTTTGTATGACACTAACACAGGCAGATCAAAGGGGCCAGCCTGCAAAAATCAGAAGGAAAACAAACATGTATTGCAACTGTTACATTCCCAAACCCATTAACCTTTTCCTGGGTTATTTAGAAAAATATATAGGAGAAGAAGAATGATTAGGCCATGATAAAAGTGCCAAATATCATTCACAACCAAGTAATCGGATGATAAATCAGTTTTCGCAATTTGCAAAGTGCTGCATGAAGTCTAAGAGCAGCATCTGCCACTGCCCTCTGCAGCTCCTGTTGTGTGCTGGTCCAGCCACCTCCCACACCAGTCTGCACCAGTAAGTGGAGGTGGAGAGCACCACCTAATGCCAGAGGGAAGGACTGGCTGCACAGGCTGGCTGCCAGCCGCACTGAGCTGGCTGCTGGCCCTGCCATGCCCATCAATCTGATTTCTTTGGCAGCAGGTGTGGGCACAAAGGTGTGAGAGGTGTAGATAGTCTGCAGGTTTATGTTTGCAGCAGCCACGACACACAGCATCTCCCCTAAACACAGAATTGTGAATTCAATTAGGCACTTTTCCTTTTTTATTCTGCTATTGGCTTACTACAAAGTTTAAAATCAACTCGTACGAGGATGCTCGGGTGTGTGTGCAGACACACGGACACCAAGACATGCCTCTGTCCCATGTGCTGACACACACACACACGAGTACATGTGTTTAGTTTCCACCTGGATGGAATTAAAAACACACTTATTTCTATCTGACAGAACAGCATGCACCCTAGAGAAAGGGATTTTGGTACAATTCAGATGCAATACTGGAATCATTTTAACAACTGAGATTTCCATCCTTCACTGTAAATGTATCAGCATTAGCTTTTAGAACACAGTGTTAGCACAATTCAGGCTGCACTCTCAAATTAAATATTGTGCTAATATTAGACTGAAGTAGCACTCAGATTGAAAGATTTGTTTACATTTTGCCAAATATTTGAAAGGATCTGTACAGATATGGGATTTTGAAGAAGCTGGATAGCACAACATCCCCAAATTAAAATGCATCCCAAGCATTGCATCTCCATTCCACAAGGACAGGTGCCCCACACCAATAGTTGAGAGGATTACAAGAACCATGGTTTAATTGATTTGGAGGGGGTTACACTTGGTTAATCAATGCCTTCATAACCATCCCAACTCCTCTGGACAGGGTACCTGTTACAACACATTAGACTCATCTGAGAATGTTCTTAAAAGGAGTGGTGTGGCAGAAGGTCTGGCCGACAATGAATCAGGTGCCTTCCTGCTGCTCTGCAACAGCGAGGCAAAGAGACTTATAGCACACAGAGCTCACCTGCCTGCTCCTCCGTGCAGCCCACACAGCCCTGTGCAGCCACCCCAGCTCACAGGATGGCAGCCACACTGCCACCAGCACTGCACGAGGCACGGGAGGAACACAGAACCAGCCCTGCTCCCCAGAACGTTTGGAGATTTATGCTGCAGGTGCTTCTGAGGGAGGAGGATGACATCCCCACCACACACAACTGGTGTTCTCAGAACAGCCAGCCATGGTGGAGCTGTGCAGTGAATGTAGGCACTGGGGACGTGCCATCGAGGGGCTCTGCTGTGGGTGACCTCAGCAGCCCCAGCAAGTCCAGAACCACCCTCGATGAGGGCTGTGGGCTGTGCTGATCCCTCACACAAAGAACAGCAGCACTGACAAACAGGATGGACTGGGCAGGGTGGGCACGGGGGAGCCCCTCCAGGGTCAGACAAGCCCGAGCCATTGGACAAGCCATCCAGAGGACTATCAGCATCAATCCCTTCTCAATTCATCAATTCCTGTCTGGCCCAGTGACACAAAACTACAGCAAGGAGGGAGAGAGTCACCAGCTTTGTCTGTGTCCACCTCACCTGAGCCTGAGCACGACCAGCTCACCCACCTGAGGTGCAGCAAGAGACCCAAGGAGGAGAGACAGACAAAATATTTAAGCAAAAGATTGAAATTAAAGCAGAAGGTGGGGAAAAGCAAGGTTCTGCTGTGTGAGCAAATCTAAAGGTGGGTTTTCAGGAGTTAAGCATTAGAAGGAAGAAAAAAGCAGTCGAGCAAGCAACACATTGCAACTCAGAAAGGAAATCACCTTATTCACTCCAAGAAAAGCTGTGATTGCTGGAAGTTTGAGAAAGCATGAAGATAGTGGATGTTCCTGAGGAAGGAAGGCGCTTCGTTACCTAGTTCACAACAGCACAAAAGACAGAAAATTGCAGTACAAGAAAGAGAAAGGCAGAAACCAAGGAAAACACAAATGCGCCTTGCAGTTAAAAAAACAAAGAGAACCAAAACAAAATAAAAACAACCACCACATTACCACACAGAAAATTGGATAAAGGCTGAGCAGAGCTGATGTGCTGTTAAAGGAAACTGGGTGTGAAACCCTGTCCCACAGGGATCAAGGGCAAATGCCCAACAACCTGGCCTAAACCTTTCCTCCCCTCCCAGAAGGGACCCTTGGCCACCAAGCTGTGCTTCAGGCCCCCGTAAAATGTCCCTAATTTTGTTTTCCACTGCATGCTTCCCTTGGGACACTGATCTTTATTTTATTTCAACATTAAGCTCAGGATTCTCAATAAGGGTTTTGATTTGAAATTATCTACCTGGCCATATATGCCTTTACAAATCAGGCAGCTGACTTTGGTGCCTGATGGCTCATACAGATATCCAGAGCTGGTATCTCCTTCAGGCACTTGTAATAAAGCTCTTACTCAAAATGTACATTTAAATATGGCTCAGCCGGTGTTTAGTTTGGGATGCAGATCTGAAGAGACTTTTCTAGTTGACACTCACTTTGCTTTGCTGAGTGGTTTCACAAGAGCCTGTGTTAAATGAATTTAAAGCACTCTTGAAAGTAAGTATTGCAAGAGGGAAAGGATCTTTGGTCATCAGCTGAAGGCAAACCAGGTCCCCTCCCAGGTGAGTTGAGCTGGGGCTCAGAAATCCCCAGGTCCTCCTTCAGGCACAGTCTCCAAAGTGTCCCATGTCTGCAGCTGAGAGCACCTCTCTGCCAGCCTGTTCAACAGGGGTGGCCAGCTAGAAACTTAAATCACACTCAAGTGAAGAAGCTACATGGATCCTCACAAAACACAACCACAGCTCTCTCACCATCCCCACTGTTTTCAGCTTTACTGATGCCCCATCCCTGGGAGTGCCCAAGGCCAGGCAGGATGGGGCCCTGAGCAATCTGACCTAGGGAACATCTGACCCAGGGAGCAGCTCCCTGCCCATGGCAGGGGCTGGAATTGGGTGATCTCTGGGAGCCTTGCAACCCAAACCATCCTGTGACTCCTGCAGAGACCAGGGCTGGGGTTACTGAGTGCATGTGACCCAGCCCACGTCCCTCCAGCCGTGCCCTGCTGCAGCCTGGCACACACAGACCCCAGGGCTGGCTGCAATTCCCACCCGCTGCCCAGGCCAGGACTGCTGGGCTGCAGGGCAGGAGAGCTGCTGCAGGAGGGGGAGCGTGGCCAGGGGAGAGGGGGCTGCCCCTGGGTCCAGCAGAGACAGGGGCAGGGGCTCAGCACAGCCAGCCTGCCAGGGCTGGCCCTCACCACTTGCAGGAGCAATGGAGAAAACTTCAGAGGTTTCCACTTCTAAAGGGAGCCCTGCTCCCCAGCAGTGAAGGAAAGCTGCTAAGAAACCAGACAGCTCCCAGGGAGAGTGACCACCATGGTCTGAGCCTCTGGTCAGTTATGCAGGATGGGCAAACGTGACAAGGCCTGACCCTGCTCCCACTCACCAGCCCCTGAGGACATACCCGGGGCAGCAGCCTGCTTTTCTGACACAAAAACCAGCAGGTTTTTTCAGGACAAGATAAAGTGTGTTTGGTGATCAGTTCAGGCTGGACAAGGCTTAGCACTTCTCTAGGAGACACCCAGGGAAGGCAGCTAAGCAAAGGCACAGGTTGACTCTCTCCCTGCTACAGATCTAGGCAGTATTTTTAGAATAGCTTTTTGATATTTTTGGCATGTGAAAGAGCAAGACAAGACTCTAGAAAGCCTTCCTTGAGATGTGAGTGGTACGTGGTATTGTTAGAGGTTCATCTGGTGCCTAAGGGTAAGAACAGTCTTCCTAAAAATACAGTGTGATACATCATCTTGTTCCTTACCTGATGATTCTTCTCTTTTATATTTTTTAAAACTATTAGAAGAATTTCTGGGAAAAGGCTGATAAAGATCAGGAGAATTATTGCCAGCCATGTGGAAACAGAAGTCAGCATATGAGCAAATACAAAATACATTCTTTGCTGCTTCAAGAAAGGCCTGAAAAAGAAAGGATACAAATAAATTCCAGTTAACGGGGGTTTTCTAAGAAGATCAGAATCAAAGGAGACTTCAGGTAAAGCTATTAGCAGTTACGCCTCCCTTTCAGACAGATGGATACAGCACAGAAATACACTGTCCATCTTTCTCCAAATCCATCTCCTGCCTCCAGCTGCACTGTTTCTGGAATATTGTCATGACCAATTTTACATCTCCCACAGCTGCTTCTTTCCAGGGTGGGAAGGGGTTTGAATTTAGCCACGATCACTGAAAGATAAATTATTCACCTCATCAAAAACCAGGTCATTGTATTTCAACATCAGGCTGTGCTATAGCTTCTGGCTTGGCTTTGATAGTGGAAATCCAGAGTCTCTCACTCACAACAGGTTATTTGTCCCTTCCTCCTTTCCTTAGTGAGGGAGAGCAACCAACAGCTGCTTGTGAAAAACCCCTCATCAATAAGTGATGACAAGGATCCCAAAGCAGTTTTTGCTTACTGTTAGATCAGAAATATTGAGCTATGCAAGTAGAAAGTTTTCAGTAGAAAACTCACACAGCATAGAGATGTGGCTAGATTGCAGATCTGGATCTGCTGGTCAGCAAAAGTTAACTGAAGAGCTAAAGCTTGTGACCCCCACAGAAAATATTTAAACCTGTCCCACATCCTTATTAGCAGGTTGCTGGATCAGGTGACAGGCAATAGCCCATGGCAGAGCAAAGGTGTAAAACAGAGATGCTGCCCACTGTCAATGTCAACTGAACATTTGCTGCAGCACAGGACATACAAAGCTGGTCATGTTTGTAGTGTACTACTGCTCACCTGCTTTTGCAACACAGTAAACCTAAAATCCTGGGTGCACTCAGATCAGTGAGAATTTCTTCCACTCAGATCTATGATTTCAACACCAGGACTGGCTTTCTCCTGCTTATTTTTCCCTCTGTCCCACAGGGCCAGGTCCTCTTGCTCTGCCTCACCTGTTCCTTCTGTTTTTCACTGGGGTTCTTTCCACACAGGTTCTTTCTGTCTCTCTCCTCCACACGCACAGACCCTAAAAGGTTTACTCCAGAACCTCCCAATAAAGACAAGAGCTTCAGCAGCAGAGATGGCCCCGTGGGCAGAAAAGCAAACACCCCTGCCAAGGCTGAGCTCCTGGATGATGCCCAGGGTGTTCTCTCCTTCAGGCTCAGAGCTCCTCCAACATCTCATCCTGCCCCAGCCCTCTTCCAGCACTGCCTGGGTGGGTGCTGGATGGAGGCAGCCCTTCCCACCCAGCAGAGAAGGAGCAGGGCTGCACACACCTTGCACCTGCAAATCCCAGGAGAACCCTGAGGATGCTGCACAGCCAAAACCTGCACTGGGCATCCCCCGAGAAAGGCCAGGGAAAGAAAAAGATACTTGCCAAATGACTCCTCCCCAGAAGAATGAGAAAAACACATAGAAAGCAAGGGAGCCCCAGATCACAAAGTGGTTCATCCACGTCCAGAAGCGGGTGTCTAACGCCAGCTGTGGGAACAGAGACAAAACAGGCTTTAGGTGCAGAGTGCACTGCATGGTGTTTGTATGGAATTTCGGCCTGGTTTCGCATTAAGCTTGCAGGCTCTCCAAACAGCCACTTCTGTGCTTATGGGCACCAGGAAAAACATTTCCAATGTCCACAGTCTGGCACAACGTTAGCAGGGAAGCAGTGACATTCTAGTTGTGAGTGACACTTTTAAATTGAATAAATTTGATGCAAACTGATGCCACAGGAAAGAAATGTCTAAAGGTTACAGGGACTGTAATTGCCTCTTGTCACCACCTGCTGTCCTGAACCAAACACAAGAGACCTTTTGTAAGGTCTTATGCAAACAGTTTGTTCTGGAAAGCTCCATGAAACAAAATAGATTTGCTATTGTTATTTGACACGTGTGCTTTTGTGATCACTTTGGCACTCAACCTTGTCAGAAACAAGGTGGACAAACCCAAATTCTCTATTGCTCCTCTGCTCTTGCTGGAACTGAACATCAAGAGGTGAAAGCGTGGGGAAAAGTCAACCATAACCAACTGGAGTCCTCAAAAGAGGGGAAAAAATAGAAAAATAATTTAAACAGAACAAACACTTAAAGACCACAGACCGCACAAATGAAAGTAAGCAGGTTCTGCCTCTATGGGAGAAGATTTAACTGTGGTGGAAAATACTCAGAGACTTCAGCAGTCACCACATGATTTTGCAGTGCACACAGGAGCCTCGGGAGAGGCTGAACAGGGAGGGGAGATGCTGACCTTGAGAGTGACGGTGAATACCAGCACGGTGAAGACAATGGTCCCAAAGGTCCAGTTCCCAAACACCTGCAAAACAGCCAGCACTGCCACAGGCGCCCCAGCCCCGCTGCCAGCCCTTCCTGGGAGGCACAGGGACAGGGACAAGGGCAGGGATGGAACAGGGACAGGGGCAGGGACAGGGATGGGACAGGGACAGGCAGGGAGCAGAGAGGGACAGAGCCACGGGACACGGACACTGGGACAGCCCCTGGCACACACACAGCCCCTGGCACACGGACCCTTGGACAGCCCCCAGCACACAGAGAGCCCCGGCACATCTCCCTGAGCCATGCAGTGCCACACGGACAGATGGGTGACCAGGGCCAGGACAGTGACAGGGACAACTCCTACTAACAGTGGGTCCAGGACACAAGTCACTGCACCACCTGCAGCTCAGGGTTGCCTGGCAATTTACTCAGTTTCTGCTTTCTCGTCACACTCATCACCACCATCATCATCATC